AGGTTTCTTAATGCATATATGCATATTTTGCTATAAAAGAAAAGATTAATAATACTAGAAAATACTTATTTCAAAAAAAAAGATATATACTAATAATTTATTTATAGTTTTAAACCATATGATAATTATTAATGTAATAAGTAATATTTAAAAAATTAAATTATTTTTTTTTATTTTTTGTAAAAATTTTATATTTGACAGATATTAATATATATTATCCCCATTTATCCCATTTATCATTTTTTATTATATTTTATATATAGTATCTTAATATTTTTTCCAAGAATTCTCAAAACACCTATATAATTTTGAATGGTTCTGCAAATTTGGAGCACCATAACTCAAAATTCTAGTTATAAAGCTTCTTTTCTGTTCTAAGTAACTATTTGCAAAAAGACTAGAGAAACAACTTTTATTAAGATCTCAAAAGCAATTGAGATAGTAATTTCTTGAGTAATTTAGCATTTTCTGTTATGGACGGAAATTTTCTTTGATGATTGTAAATTATGATCTTAATACTAAAAGGAATATTTATATATAAACGCATATATGCATGTTCTGTTTAAATGCATAAAAGTTTGCTGGTCCCAACAGTATGTATTTAGACAGGTACCACTGTATATTAAAATTGGTAAAACAAAAATAATTGTCTAATGTAAGAAAGTTGTATGCAATAATATTATAAAAAATATGGCATTTATTATTCGTAAACATACAAGTTTTTGGAGAATGAGAATCATTGTTTTCTCTACCATCTACCCGGACACACTATATGGAATTGTAGTTAGATAAATATATGCAGGTACTTTATCAAAGGGGAACGTAATGCGTTGTAATTATGCCAATTTTATTGAAAACCTCGAATCAACCCAATCAAGACTTCCAGTAATTCTATTTCAAATGAATGGCGTGTAACCCGGACTTCCACGAACTGTATTCATTATGCTTTGCCAGCAATAATGGTTCCCATTCTCCATATTTTCTGAATTGCAAACAGAACATCACGTAATTTTCAATAGAATGAGTAAAGGGTTTCCACAATCCCATGTCTGGAGGTAGATACGCGAAATCGTAATGAACACGCATTCTCTCAACTAGCCACGGCTTGGCATCAAATAACTTCCTCGCACGAATACAAAACTCCACATCTCCAAACACTCCATCTTTGAAGTCTTCATCGAAGTTGATCGCATTTAAGATTTGTACGGGAACACACAGGTTACATGTCAGACCATATAACAACGATTTATCCGATGGTACGTAGAGACCGTTGGAAGTACCAAAGATGAAGTGATAAAGGTCGAAGTAGGTTTCGCCTAGTGGCGATGTTAATCCGCTGAGAATCATGCAGCATCCGCGCTCCTTACGGTTTTTTTCGAAATGTTCTATCGCTGACTCGATCCAAGATTCACAGGGTCGGCAATTCATTTCGGTGAACATGATTAGGCTCGGATCGGCCTCGAAAGCGATCCTTTTTGGTATATCAAATAACATCGTCATTTGTCAAATTTTTTTAAAAAGATCACATTATTTGATCGTAACATACTTTATCCCATGGCTTCGAGCACTCGAGAGACCCACCTTTACTTTCAATTTTTCATACATGATGGTTATAAAAGTGGAAGGACAAATCTCATCAAACTTATATTCAAAGGGTGATGCGTCATCGATCACCACCACAACCACCGGTAATATCGTCTGTGTCGCCAAACACTCTAACATTGCGCGAGTCTGAGATAAGGAAGTTTTGGAAGTTAGGTAGATGGGCACCACCACCGCGACCGTAGTATTCTTCCAAATTTTCCTCTCATCATTTCTTAGAACCAAGAATTTCTCCTTAAACTCTTCGACGGACATGCCAATGCTTAAAAGTTTTAATTGCGTGTCCTGATTTTCTTCGAATTTCCAATTTGAGTAATAGAAAATTAATGCGGTGATCTTGAGAAAGGTAATAACGAGCCGGTCCCAGAACCTTAACGGCAAATGATAACAATAGGAAGATTTATTGAACCACAGAGCTTTTAAGCCATGATAAATTTCTTGGGCGGTAACTCTTATTTTAAATATCGAACCCGTCATTTCCAAGGTGAATGATGATTATTGTGATAGGAATGTAAAAAAAAAAAATGATATGCATATTTATATTGTATCTACGCGAATTCAGATATTGCATTGATTTCATCATAATAAAGAAGCAACCGAATTTCGGACTTGGTTTGCAACTTCAGACTTTTTAGAGTATAACACAAGGCGTGATCTACTTGTGATTTCGAGCAACAAACTTCTAGTGTTGGCGTCACTAGAATGATTACAAACTTTCATAAGTAATCAACTTGTTTAATTTCAACAGATCGTATTTAATACTTTATCATTTAGAAATGAATTTTTTCGATCGCTGTGGAAAAGAATGACAATAATAATTGATGAAATATCCTTTATAATTTTACCTAACTGAACAAGAGAGTCGTCATGTATATCAATAAATAAATTTTCCAGAATTTTCTTACAGCATAGGTTTTTTTATTTAACAATACGTTTATAAAATTCCAAACAACCTGGCACAAATCTTCACTTTACTATCTATGACAAATGATTATGGTAAACAGAATATATCATTTTTTTAATTGCACCAGCCCAAGATCTTTTTCGATCATAGCGGCGGCAATTGGATGGTAAAATGTTTTGTTCTCAATAAAGGTCTTCTTTGCCAACTCTGAACCATTCTTGGCTTTATTTAATAACCTGTTGTGAAGGAAACATCAAGTTTAAAAAAAAGAAAGCAACACGTGGTCATTCAATCATTTTAACTTGCCTGTATAAAGGTCTGACATATTTCATTCTACCCTGTTCGGTCAAAAACGCAACAACGTTTGGATAAATAGGCTCATAATCTGAACTTAAACATACTTCCTGCCATCTAAATCTAATTTCCGCGTTTCGAACAGTAGTGAATTTGTAGAGCTGGTTTATCGCCTCAATTGTTGAACAAGGAAATGCTGGATATTCTAAGAGTCGCTCTAGAAATATGACTATAAAATGGACAATGACCAATTATAATAAGTTTAATCAACTAAAATACGTAAGTTGACGATTTTTTACTATGAAGAAGAACATGCGAAAGAAAAGGGATCTCACTCTTTTGTCCAGGGGTAAAGTTTTCAATATCTACTGGTGAGAACTCGTCAAATTTTTCATTATCTCGAGCTAAATGCCACCTTCATATGCAAAGAAGAATATCGTTTACAAATAATTATCATTCTACTGGGCCTTAATAAATTATTTGTAAATAAACCTTCGTGCTAAATCCTCACAAGCCGTAGCAAGCGTCTGGTCAAATTCATTTTTAACCGGGGGCTAAAGAAAGAATAGTAATGTCAATCTTAATCATACAGGACTAGACATATGATATGGGAGGAACGATATTTAAATACCATTCCAGGAGAATGCAGCCAACTTTCCCACTGAATGGTATCCAATAACGCCTTTCTTTCTGCGCCAAAATTCTTTTCCACAAACGAGTACAAAAAATTTTTCCAATCATCTGTGGTGATTGATTTACCCGCAAATTCTTGAACATGCGCCTTCATGTAAGGTTCAAAGAACTCGGGACCTCCGATCACTTTTTGAATGTGATAAAGGAAGTTGAAACCCTTCTCTGAATTTACACGAATAATATGTTAATTTTAAATATTTTATTTAAGTGCAGATAGAATCCTATATATACCATACGGAACTGAGGAAAAGCTGTCGTCGGGATCTACGCCCTGTAAGTTAGGAACCAAGGCAGTTAAAACGTTTGTTTCACCAAAAAGTTTAATGTCATGTTCCAGAGATTGCCATCCAATGATCGCGTCGAATTCTAATTCTTTTTCTCCATGGAGACGACCTATAATTAAAGAATTTTGTAATTAACATTGTTTTATAAGCATGCATTAAACAACCTACCCATGATTTTCCTTTCAACAAAGACGGTCCATCCTTCGTTTAACCAAAAATGTTCCTAAGTCACATAATGAACCAGATAGAATCAGGAAATCATGCATTCCAAATTCATTATGGACATTCCATGAGGCAAACATGTGTTACCCAATTTGCGGTTGTAACGAGGTTTCCCATCCAACTATGAGAGATTTCGTGTGCAACGACATCCACAAGCGATCTATCTCCGGCCAGCAATGTGGGCGTCACGAAGGTTAAGCAGGGATTCTCCATTCCTCCACTGACAAGCAAGGATCACGAATTACTTCAAATCTCTCATGTGGTAATAATAATAGTAAGATGGATAGTTATGAGAATTCATCTTACTATGGAAAAGATGATGGCAGAACCAGGATGTCGTATTGTTTCCATTCATATGGTGTGAGCAGCTTTTCCCCGGTGGTAATAAATTTTTCTGTATCAGCGAATTCCCATGCTGCTTCGTCCACCACTTCGGGTTCTGTCCATACTGTAGAACGTGGTCCAATTTCCTTTCCGACCAGATTCCCAACTGCTAAAGCAATTAAATACGATGGAATTTTGGTGGTTTGCTCAAATTTGTATGTCTTTGTTGCTTTTTCAGCGTTTTCCTCTTCGCCAATTCTAATTGCGCTCATCAAAGCGCGCAGAGGTTGAGGGACCTCAACTTCCGCAGAATATGATAATTTAAACGCAGGTGTGTCTTGGCACGGCAAGAGTGATCGAGCATGAATCTAAATCATCACAGGTAAAAATGATTAATTAGTACCCTGGACCACAGAAATATAATCCCCTCACTTACAGCTTGGCATTGAGTAAATAAGTATGGATACTTTTTGCCTACGGTTTGGCTTAACAAAAAAAAATAAAAAGAAGAATAATATAATGATTATTACTACTGTTATGAACAACGACGAATGGCGAAAGAGTGATCTAATTGTAAATAATTACCGCGGTCCCAACCATTGAACAGCTGTCCCTCGTTCTAAAGTAGTATAGGCAATATCCAAGCTAAATTCGGTGTTTGCAGGTAAAATTTTATCCAACTCAATGTGCAAGGCAGAACCGAATTTTTCGTCCCTGGGTGCGAGATTGTACTTCACAGATATTTCATAGTGGTTAATAATGAATGCCTTAATCCGGTTTATTTCGACATCGAGGAACAAATGAATCCATTTTTACCTTCAACTGTACACCCGAAAGCGAAACAGACTTGACATTAAGGTGGCTGGTGTCAAGAATTACTTTGTTGACATTATCAACAAGGGTAATAAGTTTTAGAGTGACAGTTGCATCTATATTCTTAAGTTCAAAATTAACGCTAAAATTCAAGTTAAGGTGAACAGTTTGAACTTCATTGATATTGGAAAATGTATTTGGGTCGTAAACCATTTTAAATATTTGGAATTTAGAAATTCACGTCAAGGAAATTGACTCGCGCTATATCACAATTCGACTTTAGTATAATTTTTTAGGTCACACAAGATTGGCAGTGTTATTTTTAGGCAATTATTCCGTGCCGCAGTAAACGTCTTATCTGGAGTTCTTGCGAGTCCGAGTTTTACTGTCTTCTATTGAGAAAAAATCAAGTGTCACTCTACTGCGAGATTATCCTATAGTATTTCTTGGTTTACAAAACACTATTTTCCTCCAAACGGTTTTGTGTTACCTTTCTAATACTATGTTATCGGGCGTCAATCATTCAATTTTTTAATTTCGATGAATATTCGATTTTCCCTAGTCGATGGTCTTTGTTGAGAATCAATTCCGCCATAATGATTGATTGATTCAATAGTTTGAGACAACTTTCGATACTAAATATCAACCTTCCAAGAATTCTGAAATCATATTCACCCCATTCACAAATAGGTTGATATCCAAAATTTTTTCTCAAGTAATAGATACCTATATTAAATTAACTAAAAAATTTGTCATCATCAACCTGATTGTGCGACCTCTCTGTTAACGATATGCATGTACTGCGTGTGATAAATAGTCCATAGTTCGATAACTTCAGAACCGTTCGTCACTTGTCATCAAATTGAGCTTTCGATTAAATGGATCCGATTTCTCCCCCCTTCCTTCGTTTTTCCGATCTATTACGAAAATCTCATATACAAACCAATTCAAGTGGGAAGAAAGGGAAAGGGAAAGTTGTAGCAGTTGACTTTGCTGCCAATTTGTTAGAAAATGTCAACAGGGCGCAGGAGGACTTCCAGTACAACCTGATACGGTTTCAAAATCTTCTTCAAGAAGCACAAAAGTATTATATTCATGTTTAAGTTTACCCATTCTGGATGGAATTATTAATTTACGATTCTTTCTTTATACAGTATCAGTAACCAACCACTAGGTACGTATATACCAACATTACGGGTATCCTTAAAGCTCACTTCCAAATTAAGTCCAAGCAACGTCTTCATCTTATTAATTTCTAGCGAGGGAGGACTTGAAAGATGAAGAATATGGATCCGATCTTTCTTATAATGATCTTCCAACCTCTTACTATTATGAAGACCTTCCTGATAGTAATTCGGACATTCTTGAGGAATTCCAAGATGTCAATGTGGATTCCTTTGATAAGATCTGGTTGTTAAGGTATTTATGCTCTTTTTGATGATTACATTTTTTTTCCGTCCTGATTCAATCCGTAATTATATTGATAGACGATGTGAACTACACATTTCAAAGTTTGGAGATGCCGACGGAGCTATTACACCTACCAACTTGTGCACCAGAATCTTTACTATTTTGAGATTAGAAATGGATGGTATGGAAATGTCATTAAATCGTTGTAAACCAGGGCATTGACCTATAATGGAACAACAAGTTTTCGTTTACTACAAATTATAGATGATGAAATTCAGGCAAAACTCGTTGATCTTCTCGGGTTTGAAAACTTTGAATTTGTCACGATGCTTATAACTAAACGATCGGAAATTGTTGAGAACATTAAAAACCAGTCGGATTTCCAAGAAAACCAAAAGGCAAGACATTAATGGACAAGGAGGAATGTGACTATTCAAAGATTTTTTAATGATTGGCTATACATAGGGTATCTCAGAAGATTCGGTTCCTCATCATCGTCCGACTCTACTTGAACCGATACGTCCTTCATATGGTTCTCAGGTGACCATTCAATTCGAGAGTGATGCAAAACAACAGAAGCGAATAAGAAAGGAGCATAAGAAAAATATGAAAAAACGAAATGCAGGTGTGTATCTCTGGTATTCGCAGACGGCGTCAACAAAATAAATTTATTTTAATTTTGTAAAGAGGATGAAGAAACACTTTCGGCAAATATCTTGGGTTTCAGCGATGAGTCACGTTTAGCACGAGAGAACCAGTTACGAACTGCAAGAAATTCACCACTACCTCCGCAGTTTGTAAGATTCGTGGCCCTTAAAGGACGACCAGTTTCGTGAAATATTAAATCACTAAAGTTTTCTAAATTGCAGTCTGCTCCGACAGAAAATTTCAAGCATGTTTACGGCAAATCACAGTCCGGTAGCGTTCTAACTGTATTTGGAAACAGATTTTCTTTACCAGTTGGTACTGAACGAAAAGATTACAATGTGAGTATAATATTTTATATGATTGAATGAGATATTATTGTTATTGATTGGCTTAACAATTTAACGTAGGATTATGAGGAAATAACCGTTCCCATGACAAATCGAGCTCCTCCTTTACAGAATGAAAAGCTTGTTTATCTGAGCGAGATGGATAACCTTTGCAAAGGTACTTTCAAGGTAGGCAATGTTTATTAATTTTTTCTTTTCGCAAACCCTATTGATTGAAATTCGTATTATTTTGCGATTTACGCCGATAGAACTACAAATCCCTCAATCGAGTGCAGTCAATTGTTTATCCTGTTGCTTATCAAAAAGACGAAAACATGTTGATCTGTGCACCTACGGGAGCGGTAACTTTATTCGTGTTAATTCAGTTAGATCCCGATTTGCACCAAATTGTGAAGAGAGTTTACTCTTTTAATATAGGGAAAGACTGAAATCGCAACGCTCGCAATTCTTCGTACGCTGCGACGGCATTGTAATTCCATTCTAGACTCACAGAAATTTGAAATTAGAAAACACGAATTTAAAATTGTATACATCGCGCCTATGAAAGCTCTCGCGGCAGAAATCGTTAGGAAATTCGAAGAAAGATTAAAATGGTTAGGAATTCAAGTCAAAGAATTAACAGGTATCGAACATATCCAAGTACCCTTTCTCTTTTTTTTTTCATTTTCCTATAGTGAATCGGGAATTTAAAGTATTATACTTATGCAGGTGATATGCAGTTGACAAAAGCAGAAATTTCTAATACACAAATTCTTGTGACCACACCCGAAAAATGGGATGTGGTGACCAGAAAAAGCACGGGAGATGTCGAGTTAACGCAGGTTTGATACTATGAATCCCTAAATGAAGCAAACATAGTGGAAACCTTTAAATATAAGCCATTTACTAAATTAGAAAGTCAAATTGCTGATTATTGACGAAGTCCACTTACTGCATGATGATCGAGGAGCAGTACTTGAAAGTTTGGTTGCCCGGACGCGTCGCCAAGTATATAACAATAATATCTTCTTTTGAAATTGACAAGTTGACTAAAACCTTTATACACTAGGTCGAAACTAATCAATCAACGATCCGCATAGTGGGGCTTTCTGCTACACTACCAAATTATGTTGATGTGGCTCGATTTCTGGGGTAACTTTAGACTCCATTAGTCATGTGAGCTTTTTTTCTTTCACGCGTGCCTTGATTTATGTCTTTGATATTCCTTTTAGTGTGGATCTTAGTAACGGTGCAGAAGGATTATTTTATTTTGACGGAGGTTTTAGACCGGTACCGTTGGAGCAACACTATATTGGTGTTAAGGGAAAACCTGGAACTTTGACCTCTAACAGTAGAATGAATCGTACGTGTTGGGAAAAAGTGAGCATGCTTTATTTTCAGTATTTAATGTTATTCTAAGCGTATATATTTTAAATGTTTTATCTTTTTTGATTTTGTTAGGTTTTGGAACTTGTGAAGGATGGACACCAAGTGATGGTATTTGTTCATGCTCGTAAAGAGACTGTCAGAACGGCAAAAACTTTTTGCGAATATATTTTAACTGAAGGACACGATGGTAAGTTTATAGTCTGGTCTTGTTAATAGCGCGGATCGATTCATTTCACCTTCCGTAATTGTTATTTTTCAACTCGTTTATATCAGGATTATTTGACGTTTCCGCGCATCCTCGTTATGATTTGATGGGAAAAAGCGTCGCGAAATCACGAAACAAAGAATTAAAAGAGCTTTTTACACATTCCTTTGGAATTCATCATGCTGGAATGTTGAGATCCGATAGAACGATGACTGAACGTCTATTCGAAATTGGTCTAATTAAGGTTTTTTATAATTGAATTATTGTATCGTTGCGGTAGCTTCATACCCTTATCGCGTAGATTTCTCTCGTTTTAGGTCTTGTTTTGCACTGCTACACTAGCATGGGGTGTAAATTTGCCAGCTCATGCCGTCGTTATTAAAGGTACACAGGTGTATGATGCACAAAAGGGGAACTTTGTTGACCTATCGATTCTAGACGTTATGCAAATTTTCGGTAGAGCTGGTCGTCCACAGGTAATTGCTCTGAATACATAAGTTCATTGTAATCGTTGTGAAGACGTTTCAATTAATTAGTTAATAAAATTTTATTAGTATGAAAGTTATGGGACTGGTTATATTCTTACTACTCTTGATAAGTTACCTCACTATGTGTCCATGATGACGCAGCAGCATCCTATAGAATCCAAGTAAGTTTTATTTAAATGCGAATTTAGTCAAATTATCAATGAAAAACATTTTCTTTCCGTAGGTTTGTTGAGAGCATAGTGGATAATTTAAATGCTGAAATCTCGTTAGGCACGGTTTCTACTGTTGCCGAAGGCGTCACGTGGTTGGGATACACGTATTTATTCGTGCGTATGAAAAAA